ATTTTTCTTTGAATTTCTGCTTAATGTATGTCCTTGAAAAAGGTCAGTCCAGTGTGGAAAGTAATTTGAAGTATTTTTGCTTCTTTCTTTTTTTTTTTTTTATTTCCTCAAAAGATTTTTCACCTTGAAAGACAAACTGTTACAATCTCGTGCGAGTATTTTCTGTTTGCCATCCTGTGAAAAGCATGTACGTAGATTCTGAGAGATGTTACTATGATTTAATGATAGTAAATATCAATATATTTTATGTATTTGAAATGAAGACATATCCTTGGTAGCTGCTTGTTTTTATACCAAAGTATATAAAATAAGGCTTTGCCACTTGTGAAGTTAAAATCCTTAATTTGCTCTCTAGGGGGCATTCAGCATAAATCGATGAACTTTGGACTCCACTAGATGTTTTTAGTTACATAATGTTTAACAGAAGTTGCGTTCTTCAAGAGTTTATTCTTTCAAACTGTATGAACAATACCTTGGGATCTGTGGTTAGAAGAGGAATAGGACTGCTGTTGTTCCCAAGACAGATGCAGTAACAAGAGGGAGGATTTTGGGTTTTTATTTTGTTGGGGTTTCTTTTGTTTTTTCAGGTCGATTGGGACAAATAGGTTTGAAGGAAGGATATCTTTCTGCTGTGAAGAATATTAGTTCTGTAATTGGACTGTTTGTACAGCATGCAAAAGAGGAAGGTAATGTCTGTTCAGAAGAACTTTAATATAAAATCTGCAATAAACAGAATGAGTACAAATTAGGACATTTGTGCCAGAACACCCTGCTTGTGCAATTTTATGTTAGTAAGGAACAGAACAGACAGGTTTCAGTTTGAGTCCCTGGCTCTTCCAAAGATAATGAAGCCTGGCTATTAATGTTTTTCTCAGTCAGGGAGCTTCTTGGAGGTATTCTCAGACAACTTGAAATTATTCTGTTTCACCTAATGTACCAGCTGCCTCAGAGTACATTTTGACGCAAGCAAGAATTGTTAGTTTGCTACCTGAGCAGCTCATACTGTTCTAAATTCTTGACTGAGACGAAGCAAGACAGGAAGAGCAGCAGAGATATGCAGTACTAAGTTATTCTGGATACTAAGTTTATTTTGCAGTGGAACGTTCACTGCTGTGAGAGAATTATTTGACCTACAGCTTCTCTTTCTTGAGTCTCAGGCTTTTCCAAGTAAGTGGATGGACACATCTGTAATCGTATTTTTCTGTCTCTGTGTAAATCTATTTGTTTTCATAGTTTAATCACCCTGCACTAGAATACAATTACTGGATGCTCAAATCCTTTGTGTCCATTGAATACTAAAACCCTGCTGAATTCGAGAGCTGGGAAGTGCAAGTATAAAATGAGATGTTAAGGAATTTTTGTGCAGATTGTCTTCTTGCTACTTTCAGGCTGTAGATATCTCACCTGTTGATGTTTTTATTCCAGTTTTTGAACAAACAGTTTCCCCCAGAATTGCTGCATATTCAAGTTGATAGAAGCTAATTTGTGTTAACTTTTTGCAGATGTTCCATGGGGTGTGCAGCTGGCGGCCATATATTCACTGTGTGACTTGGGTTCAAGCAATCCATCTGGTATTGTTGGGGCCATCCATGCTTGGAGAGCTACAGTTCTTAACAGCATCCCTTTCGCGGTCACAAGAGGCCTAGCTGAAGTCAGTTCTTTGTGTAAAATGGACCTACCCTAAAGCATAGTTAAATGGTCCTGTCTGAAGAAGTGCCTTACTTTACTAAGCAGAAATTGGTTCCAGATAAGAGCAATACAGAGTGGTGTCTTCTTCTTAAAAGAATGTCTGATCATACAAAGCAAGCTTAACTGTTTTATTTGGCTTTTCCGCTTGAGGGCAGAGTTTTAAAAGAAGTAAAAAGGCTTGCATTTCCAAATAACTCATCAGTGATCTTGAAAACCAGTATGGTTTTGATTTCCAAGACATTTCTGGCTTAATGTCAATAATAATCAGTAGTTCAATTTGGAGCATGGGCATTTCGCTACAGCAGAAGACTGAGCTTGGCTGAAACTTGGCTCTATTCTTTTGTATTATATTTGTAAAGTAGCTGTTCAGATAGCAGAATTTTGCCCAGATTCTGCTTTGTGTTCCTTGAGTAATTTCATCAACTTAACATTAAATACTTGTGTAAAGGAAGTAGAACTTGTGTTACAGTCACTTATAGAGTAACAGAGGTATGAAATCTCTGAACTTGTATATATGGTATATGCCGATAATGTGTTTTTTACATTTGATATTGTTCCACTTGGGGAATTTTGTGAATGTAAATAGAAAGTTGGTTCAGAAGAAGTTTAAACTTCTAATGATAGCTTCACTACACTCTGCATTTTTATATCTTCCATAATAAAAGAAGCAAACACTGTTATGTTCTTGTTGGTCTTTTCAAATAACACACTGGGAATGAACTGTTGTTTCTAGTTTAAGTAAGTACTGATTTGAGGGGAAGAGTTTTCATTGGGATTGTCTGCAGTCAGTTCAGTATCTTTCAGTTGCAGCATTTCAATTTCTTCTGGATCTCTTAAGTCTTTCTGGCACCTGAGGATCAAGTTCTGTTTACTGGTCCTATAAACGGTTTCCCAGTCGCTTCATGAGCCAACACGGTCCCATCCTTTTTCCTGCATGTTCTCCTGCATGTTCTGCCTTAGCAGACAGCTCTTTAAGAAAGAGGAATTCCCGCCTTCTTGATGTTCTGCTTCGCTTAGATGCTGCTGTCTTCAACAGAGTATGCACACTGTTTTTGGTATTGCCTGTAGTACCAATGCCTGATGCATCATACATTAAGGTTAGACACCAGCTTTAGCTTATTCTGCCTTTCCAGTTTGTGTTTGCATCTACTTCAGATTGTCTAAACCTACTGTTTCTGGGATGAATGCAATTTAATAAGAACCTCCCTTGAATGTTATGCTTCTTATTCTAGACTTCCTGATAAAGACTAAAGAAGTAACACCAATTCACTAATGTGTGTGAATATTCATTGGAAATGTAAAATCATGGATTGGAATAGCTGGTATTAATAGCTCAAAAATTGTGTTTTGTAAAATACAAATACTAAGTTGTATAGTTTGTGTCAATATACATTTTATACAAAATGTATGAGTACTTTGTTTCTAAAGAGATTGCTCTACATTCTTGCTTATCTATCTGTAGAAGCAAGTTCTTAGTCTGACTACACTTTAATATAATAGTGTGTGCTTGCCAAAATAATCTCTATTTGGGATGACTGACGTGTAATATACATTCTTTAATATGGGAGAAAAAAAGAAAGAGCAGACGTTGGAGGTTTTCCAATAGGAATTCAACAGCACAATAAGAGGCACATTCCCCCCAAAACAATGCTGTGGTCTTAGCAAAAAAGAGGGAAAAAAAAAAGTGTATTTCTGCATAGTTTCACTTCAGAGTAAAGAATCTTTCAAATGATTTGGAAGACTGCATTGGTGAAGTCAGGCTCCAAAGAGCTGTAAAAATCACAGCACTTACCAACTCCAGCTTTCACTGAGGGTGATGATGGTGGCAGCATTGGCAGCAGGAGTAAAAACAAAGTTGAATGTTTCTATACCATCATGAGCGTCTGAACTTGGGGCTTGCCTGGGGCTGCATACACAAAGGTTGCTCCAAAAGTAATGCTTCTTACTTATTTCCATGGAAGCTATGACTAGGTCAGGGCACATCTGTATTTGCACTGCTTCTAATGGCATTTATTTTTCTGCTGGTTTGCATGGTACCTGCTATAGGACTTTCTATATCGTGTGACTCAGGTCACAGGTTACAACAGTTTATAGGTATCAGCATCATAATCTCTTCCCTGTTGGCTTTGGACTAGTCTACAGTAATTAACATTTTAATGAACTCCTCACCTTGTCTCTGGCCTGGCTAGCAACAAAGAGTTCCAGTTATAATGTTTCTGTAACAGGCAACTTAAATAATGGGTTACAAAAATGCAAAAGCTTAACAATTACAATCTGCACCCTTCATCATTTTGTGCCAGGCCATAGGTCTTAACATTGCAATGAACTCCTGCCCTTGCCCATGCTCCACTCTGGGCTTGATCTTTGGCCATACTTGCTTGGAAGTGTCCCTCTACTTGTGTGTCCCTCTACTCTGCCCTGGTGAGGCCTCCCCTGGAGCACTGCATCCAGATGTGGAGTCTTTAGTGCAGGAGAGGAAATTCTGCTCTGAGGCAAGCTCTTTGACTTTCACTTTGGGTTAATGTCACTGTTCAGAATAGCAACTGAGAAGGCTCCACTTCAGTGTGATTCTACACAGGCAGAATTTGCAATGGTTTCTGTCACAGAAATCTGGGAATTAAACTCACTTACCCTAATGCTGACACTACTGCATTGCAGCACTGGGTGCATGGGGGATGGCAGATTGTATACACTCAACTTGTGAATATTCATGCAATTTCCATGAAGTGCCTCCTAGAATTGCTATGCATATTAAAATCTAATATTGCGCACTGTATCTAATATAATCTAATATTACCTGCGCTATGGTAATACATGGTTCTTGCAAGGGATCTTAGGCGGTCATGGAGTTCCACTGGGAGTTGCTGTCTAGCCAAATGTTGTGTGCTAAGTAGGTCAGATCCCATATTTGATCAATAAATTATTTATTAAAAAATCGGCTTCTGGCCAAGCTTTTAATGGTCACATCGGCCTTGCTGTGGTGCCTGTATTATCACACCTCCTCACGGCTTGTGGAACTCTGCTTTCACAACTGACATGTCCTGCTTATTTAGGAAAACAGCCCTCCCCGCATAGAAGGTCGGTTTGCTGAATCAATTATATGCCGAAGATATCAATCAATTGCCAGGTGTCGCTTCCGCACAGCGCACTGTGGCTGAAATCGTTGCTTCTCGCGTAGGGCTCGGGCCAGAAGCCGCTCTTTCCCAGGCTGTGCCGTGCCGGAACGCTCTGCTCCGGTCCCGCCCGCTCCGCTCCGGGCTTTCCGTCCGATCCTCGCTTCCCGCCGGCGCAAGGCCCAGTCCCCGCCCGCAGCCGCGCAGTCGGAGCGGCGCGGCGTTGCCGCGGTTGCCGTTGGTCGCTATGCGCTTTAGGGCTAAGATCGTGGATCTCGCCTGTCTCAACCACTTCAGCCGTGAGTATGCCGTGCCGAGGGCACGGGGTGGCCGCGCCGCGGCTGAGCGGCTCGGGCTGCCTTTCCCGAGGGCGCGGAAGAGGAAGGGCTGCGCATGCCGGCGGTGTCCGGTCGCCGTGCCGCGGGCGGGGCGGCGTGAAGCTGCGCGCTTTGCCTTGCGGGGGCGCGGCGTTTCTGTGGCGGTTTGGGCGGCAGAGGTTCTGCCCTGCCGCCGCGGTGCACAGCACGGAGCGGCTCTGCTCTTCCCTCCGCCCCACCAGGTGTAATTAACACGATCGCGAAATTAGCCAAGAGCTGCACCCTGCGTCTGACAGAGAGCAAGCTGTACTTCATCCTGTCCGACAGAGTTGCTAATGGAGGAGTCAGCATGTGGGGCGAGCTGTGCCAGGTGAGCCGGGGAGGTTCGGTGCTCAGGCAGTGAGAAGTAGTGCCCGCGGCCAGGTGTCTTTCACGAGGCGTTCCTTATAAATACGGCCCCTTCCAGAGGTGTCTCGGAGCTGTCGTGCCGCTCAAGGCAGCCTGTTTTGCACTGATGCCTTGTCGCAGTGCAGGGCTGGGGTTTGTGGCTAATGCCGCTTTTCCTCGGTCGTCCGTTCTAATTAAGGATTCCTTGTGTGCTGGCCTGCCCAGGACTGGAGGCAGTAAAGCGCAACTCACCCTTCTGCCGTGTATTTTGAGGTGCTGGGGGACGATCCGAAGCTAATAGCTTCACCTCTGGAGCAGTGAGTCTCCATCTTCATGCATTGGTTCCTGCAGGTGGTGTTGGGCGCAGGATACCTGCTGTAACCGACTAAGGGCTGTGGAGTCCAACTTGACCCTCCTTTTTTTTTTTTAATTTGCTTTGTTTTCTCAAATTTCAAACCTTGCAGGGGAATTTCTTTGATGAATATCAGATGGAGGGAGTAGATGTAGATCACAATGAAATATATTTAGAGCTCATGCCTGAGAACCTGTCAAGAGCATTAAAAACTGCCCAGAGTGCAAAGGCAGTGAAGATCAAGTTGACTAACAAACATTCTCCCTGTCTCAGAGTTGCTGTGGAGCTAGTAAGTGCCATAATGCTTTATTATGTTAAAATTGTTCAAAATTAAGTGTCTTTCTGTAGGTCGAATTGTAGCTCTGGTAGTCTTTGGTGTAATTCTAGAAAACGAAATAAAGAAAAATCTTGGCATTTTTCCCCTTACTGGCCTTTCCTACCAGATTGACAGATAATACCAGAATTATATTTTCCAAAAAGATAAGAAGGGAGTAGGGAGGAATGAAAGCCATGTGGCCGAAACATCTTTGTCCAATATCTTTGTCACCTGCTACCTTTCTCCATTTCTTCATTCTCTACATTTTCTGTGGTCTGTTGCCTTCTTATTGAGGGCAGTTTAAAGTTAGCTCATAGGTACTAATGACTCTTAAACTCTTCTGAACTCAAAATCAGCTTAATAGAGAACCTGTGGAAAAATAGAGAAATGGAACTGGGTATCTGGGGTAGTTGGATCTAGTTTTTCCCCGACTGGGTGTGAAAAATTTGGATTCAGAATTGAACCTGTTTCTTACTTAAAAGATATGTTCTGTCTCTCTCAAGCCGTCCTTATCAAGCAGCAGTAGGATTGTGACACATGACATTCCTGTGAAGGTTATTCCCAGAAGACTATGGAATGACTTCAGAGAGCCCAGTGTGCCAGACTTTGATGTAAGCCTCTGTTTTGTATTTCCTATGGAGTGAGAAGGTTTATACTGCTATGGGGTATGCTGGCAGTGGGTTTTGGAGAGGAGAAGGGGCGGAAAAGGGAAAGCTGGAAGTTTGGGGATGTTGCATCTTGACAAGAGCCCCAAATAAGTAAAAATGGAGCAGGTAGTTGTAATTTGCTGCTGCATTATTTGGGATGGGACAGTGGAGAAGCAAAGGACTTGCATAGCTTTGTGCAGGAGTGTCTCCAAAACACTAAGGTTTGTGATTACTTCATATGATTTAACTGCTTAGGTACCAAGTAGCCCCAATAATCTGCTGTCTGGAATTTCTAGCCTACCTGGCTGAGTTACTTGTATGTTTTTCCTCCTGTTTCTTTTTTAAATATCCTTTTTATATCCTTTTTAACTTTCAGCAGAACTGCAACAAAAGGTCCTTGTGCAAATTGTGTTCCTGCTTGAGGATATAGTTCTCTGTTACCTCCATAGCTAAGATTATTTCAAATCAGAAGATGTAAGACACAGTAGAAACTTGATGCATTCTGTTATTTCAGATTTACACTGATGTGGTTTCAAAGGTGATCAGCTGTAGTAACTTTGTCTATTCAGTTACACAGGTGTAGGTTCACATGAGAATCTTACCTGCCCTCTATTTTCAACGTGGCTTTGGGATAGTGTGTCTGAAGCAATTGCTAGAGGGATGGCCTGTTACTGGAATGGGAAAGAGTTCTTTTGTTCTTGGATTGTTTGCTGAATTTAGTACAGTATCGTGTTCCTCCCACTCAGTGTGTAGCTGAGGTGTCCAAAATAAGGATGTACTTGAAGGGGAAACTAGAACATTACAGATGAAATACTGTCATGACTATGGTGGTTTTGTTTTTTTGTTTTTTTTCTTTCTAGGTCAGTATTTACCTACCAGCACTGAAAACAATGAAGAATATTGTGGAGAGAATGAAGAATATCAGCAATTGTATTGTAAGTTAAGGCACTTCAGTCTGTGTCCTACAGACCTCTTGGTTGTAACACTTGTTGTTTTCCCTGTTGCCTGATCTGATGCCTCTGTTATATTTTGTCTTTTGTATGGGATGGATTTTGAGTTAAAGGTACCTGAAGATTGTGTAGGGGCTGAAGAGAAGTGATGAAGGGAATGATGGAATTTGTTTTAGGACTGACAGTCCTAAAACTTGTCCAGGACCTCATAGAACATCCTCTTTTTGCACTGAGTTCCAGAAAGAACATGATATTATGTTGCTGCATAATACATACAAGTCACTCTTTACAGATGGAAAGAAATTGCAGTCTTTCATGAAGTGTGCTGGACACTTTATAGTGATTACATTAAAAAGAATGCCCTATTAAGTGAGTCTTTTTTTTTTTTATAAATGACCTTTTGGTGAACTTGAGGTATGATTTGGAGGAAATCTTTTTAATGGCTCATGGATGTCAGCCCGTGCTTTAGATTCTGACATGGTGAGTTTCTGGAGGCTGGTAAGCCCTTCATTGGAGGAAGCTTTGTGCAGGAGGTCTAAAAATTGATTGATTTACTTTTTGTTTGTTTATTTAGTTTCTCCAAAACTGTAAATCACTAAAATTTACTAGCATTGAAGTGAGTAAGCAGCTACAGATCCTTGGAAAAGATTTTGGAACTGTACATGACAATTTTGATAAATGGGATTTTTTTTTTTTTTGGTAAATGTGGAGTCCTGAAATTGGGTAGTTCTGTCTTACAGGAGTTGGAAGGGTTGAGAGGTAAATGCTGGCTTTCTGTCAATTTTGAGAATGGCAGTTGTCACTCATCTATTTGTATGACATACTTCAAAATCTTCTCCTTTGTAGTAAGCCTTCTGGAATTTTATTTTTCCTCTCTATATAACTTTCTTCCCCAGTGTCCTCTATGAAAGTGCTTACATGCTACAAAAGCACATTGTGTAACTGCTTTGTTTCCAGAGTTGATAATCTCTTATCACACAGGATAGCCGTATGATGGGACTGATCTTTGGTGTGTAGCAACACTCAGAAGAGGTAGTATATCAACACAGCTCATAACCTCCTTCCTGAGTTCCTAACCTCCTTCTCCAAAGCACATTTATAGTCAAAACTAAGTAAAACTTTGGGAAATGCTTTTGATAGCTGTAAGGGAAGAGGCAGAGTACTCTCACCTTGTACATGCTTTACTGTCATTAACAAATAAAAATATGAAGTGTCACAATTATTTATGTGAGATGCGCCTTGGTAGTAAATTTCGTCAAGATGAGCGCTGCAAAAACTGCTTTCAGAAGGTCTTTCAAAGAGTGATTGGTCATTCTGTGTGCATCTCCCATTCTGTAGGAATTTTTGGTTGTCAGTGAGCCTCTATAGAAGTACTGAGAATTCTTCTGGTCACAGAAATGATGTGCGTGGATGTGTATTAGTAGTCCTTTGATTTTTGTAGGATAATATATGGCCTTCTTTTGGTAAGATACCATTTTCAGGATGGAATTTGAAGACTTTCAGCACGTTTCCAGGGTTCCTCGCTTTCCCAAGTCCTGCTTGGAGTTACTGCTCTGGTTCAACTAATGCTTGTTTTTAAGACTTGGAAAGCAATTGCAGATTAGCTCCTAGTGCATCCAATTTTCTGTATGTGTTGCATCAAGTGTGTATGTGTCTTTCTGTTTGTTGAAAAGCTAGGAGATAATGCAGCAAGTGTTGCACTTCTCCAACTTCAGTCTGTTGTTTCAAAGGACTTTATCTTAGCATGTGGACTTCCCAAAGCCAATACTTACTCTACAAGTAATGGCGAGTAATTAAATGATTCTCTTCATAGTTTGAGGGAAGTTGGTCTAGGATCGTTCACGTAGCAATGATAAGAAATGTATTCTGTAGCATTCAAATGTCTGAACCAAATTGAAAATGTACAATTGAGCTGTGAGGGCACTGAAGCACTTCTGGAAGCTTGAATAGAACATCATGTAGTTCTGCAGTACAAAAGTGACTTTCTTAAAATTGATTGTATTGCAGGTGATTGAAGCAAATTTGAGTGGAGAAATGAACTTAAAAATAGAAACTGATGTAGTATCTGTAACAACGCATTTTAAAGATTTGGGAAATCCTCCCTGGGGTAAGTTTTCCTGTTTCTTCCCTCTTGTGTCTGATCTCATTACTTAAGTACTGTCAATAGTACCCGCCTTCTGTTAGTACTTAGAAAATACCATCAAATCCTTTCAAGTCTTCAAATGAAACCTTAAAAAGAAAGAGTCCAGTTCTCATATTTGCAGGGCAAATCTCTTCCAGTAATTTTGACAACTTGCTGGAATACTGGGCTTCCACTTTCTTGCAGTGCTGTTGCTGATAAGCAGCCCCTTTGAATATCAACTGCTCTGTAATTATCAGGCGCGTCCTTCTGAGTTTTGAAATCTCTTCTGGCTTTTTTAATGAGTGTTCTGTTCTTTCAGCATCAGAGGATGGATGTCAAAGCTCTGCTCAAGGCAGAGATCTGCAGAGCATGGCTGAAGCACGCATAGACATCAAGAAGTTGCAGCAGCTGCTTGTAGGACAGCAGGTCAATCCCACAAAAGCCTTGTGCAGTAAGTTGAACTGCCCTGTTTACAAGCTCTGTTTAAGGAAGGGATGTTTGCTGTGCTTGTAGTCTTAGGTGAATAATGAATCTTCTGCTTTGTCACCTTGAAACTTTGCTGTTTTTACTGCACCTGAGAACTTTTAATGTTTCTGGGTAAGAAAGAAATAAGGCTAAAAGCATTTAGCCAGGACCTTTTAAAAGTATCAGTACTCAGACTGAATAATAGAAACATGGGGTATCCTGAGTTGAAAGGAACCCACTAGAATAATCTACACCTGGCTCCACATAAAACTACTTAAAAAATTAAACTCTACGTCTGAGAGTGTTGTCGGAACACTTCTTGAATTACAGCAGGCTTGGTGCCATGACCACTACCCTGAGGAGCCAGTACTTGTGCTCGACCACCTGCAAAGAACCTTTTCCTGACCCAACCTGACCCTCCTATGATGCTGCTCCGTGCTGTTCCCCTGGGTCCTATTGCTGACACCAAAGGGATCATGAGGGAGCTGTAGGTTGCCATGAGGCCTCCTCTCACTACCTCTTGAACAAAGCAAGTACCCTCAGCTGTTCCTCATGTGTCTTGCTATCTAGATCCTTCACCATCTCTGTTGCCCTAACATCTTTACTTACAAATGCTTTTAAACCTAGATGAGTGGAAAAGTTTGTCATTTCTCCCCTCAAAAACAATTAACTTTTTTTGTCATAGGCATTGCAGGTTAATACCAGACTGACTAAACATAATTGGTATTGTTTTTTTGAATTGCCTTTGTTTTGAAGTTAAACTGATTTATTTTAGAGCCGAATTGTTTCTGGAAAGCTGTGGTTTATGCTAGAGAAATAGATTTACTGACTTTTTCCCCTCATGTGCTTTCTTACGTCCAGAACCAAATTGATTCTGATACCAAAATGCTTTTTACACAGCAGGTGTTTCTAAGCATTGAGAAGGTGTGTTCCCCTGAAACAGAAGTTGTACAGGGGTTTATATGACATTTTGATTACTCTGCGTGCTTTCCTCCTGGACTTCTGATTTTATAAGAGCATCTACGCACTTATATCTTACAGATGAAGTTATGGGTATAGCATTATATGCTTGTGCTTTACATATTTTCTTTTTGGTATCAGCATTCATAGGCTTCAGTAATCCTTAATAGGCCCTCAAGTACTTTAATATTTCAGGGTTGTATGTCTGATCGTTCTCTTTACTTCAAAGTATGCTTTAAAATGACATCCTGTATCAGAAGTGATGTTGTATTCTTATGGTAGCATTCTCAAAAGTATTTGCCATGCTTCAAACTGGATTTGTGTTTTTTTCTCTTTAACAGATATCGTGAGTAAAAGAATTGTCCACTTTATCTTGCTCCATGAAGATGTTTCACTTCAGTATTTTATTCCAGCGCTTGTCTGAATGTTTTGGAATCGTAGCCATTTTCCAACTGAGGCCTTTCCCACAAAGTGGGGTAGCAACTTACCTTGGTATTGTCTGTTTGGTTTATAAATACGTTTGTGATTTTCTGTGAGATAGGGGTGGGTGGGAGGAAAGGGGTCACTAGTCTTCTTTTAATAAAATGTAAGATGTAATCCAACAATTGAGGCAAACAAATGCTTTATACTGTTCTTTTGAAGCAGTTGACACCTGTGTTTGAGTCACTGGATCTGTAGAAATCTAATTCTTCTTAATGGTGCCGCTTGTCTGCTTCCAGAAAGGACAAGGTAGGGTGGTTATTTCTTTGTTAGGAATATTTTTTTGGAATATGTGGGACATTCAGCCTGTGGATATTCAAATTGTTTGTTGTTTTTTTAATTAAATAGCTGAGAAGCACTTTGATTAAGTTTCTGACTCTAATGGCAGGAGATCCTGAAAGCAGAAAACTTTCAAGGCACCTCCTGGTTATCCTGATGTCTGTATTTGAGATGAACTGCTGAGTTACGCTTCCGTTGTTCACACTGTGTTTTGGTTAAAGTGCAAGGCCAGTAGGAAGTGGACAGATAAGTAATCCAGAACTGAAGCTTTCTGGAGCAATTATAGAATTGTTGTTCTTGAGTGGGGAAATAATTCCAATTTGGCATTGTTGGGAATGCTTGGAATCCATAATTTTCCATCAGGCAAAGATATCAGTGAAGCTGCATTTTATCATTCTGTATTACAGTAGCGGCTGCGCGCCCCCATGTGGCAGAGGTGAAAACGCACTGAATGAGTGGAGCACCATCGTGCAGCCTTTTCTTCCATCGCATTACAACTCTCCTGTTCCCCTGTTGGCTAGGTACTCCAGGCTCACAATATACGCAACGTGTTTGCTTATCAATTTTTCCATATAAGGTCTATCACCAAGCTCTTGTTTTTAAGATCACTTTGTACTTTTCTATGGGTGCAGGAGGGTGATGTTTCTTGAAGCTGTCATGCCTGTTTCATTGCATGCCAGGCTTTCCTTACTCTGCTCTGTATTTTTTGCCTTATCCTTCGCTACTTACAAAAGCCATGCTTAAGAAAGAAGAAACCCATTTCAGGTAGTATCTAAAGGTTAACTAGCCCCAATTCCTGATGATACCTTTTATGGTATTCTAGGAAGCACAGATTATTTATTTACATTTATTTAGCAGCCTTTTCCTTTTCAATGAACTTAAACATTCTTCTGTGAAAGTTGGTATTGTTCGTGTTTGATCACTGTGGGTGTTGCTCAAACCCTTTGGATTAATTTACTACCCTGTTTGGGGCATCCTAGCCTCCATTCTGTTCTGTTGCTCAGCATTCTTCTTGTGAAAAACAACCAAGGCAGGCATTTTGACCTACATAGCTATTTTGTAAGAAAGGTGTAAGTTTGGTGAGGGTCTGTACCTTGGTACTGGAAGTTTCTACTGCAGAAACACAATTCTCATGTCATGCAGCTATGAAAAGAAATCTAAGAGCAGTCTTGCCAAGAGATGTTATTGATAGTTCTAAAATACTGTGTTGTTGCATACTCTGAGTATCTGAAGAAGAGACACAATAGGTTTCCCATGTATTGTTTTATGATCTGCAAAAAGACCATCTGTTCTTAGTTTATGCCCTGGTGATATAGGCATTGAGGGATAGGAACAAAGCTGCTATCCTTCTGTGCTCTGTTACTGTGGAAGGCTGCATCACAAGCTTCTTAGATTCCCTGTCAGAAACTTTTCCAGAGATTCCCCTCTTCTTGCAGATGCATGTATTCTTTTTGCTGATGTTTTCCTTTTTGCTGAGATTGATTTTATTTTTTTTTTCATTCTTTTTAGTGAGAAAAGCCCTTCTCCGTACTGAAAGATTTTTATCAAAGCCACTTCTATGCCTCTTTTTGCTTATAAGGCCAAGTGTGCTTCCGGGAAGCTTGTCCCTTAATTCTGATGTATTACAAGAGTTCTGCAGCTAACTTCTTGTTTTCACTTTTTATGCTAACGCATATTGCCCTTGTATGTTTTAGTTCTTCCTAAGGATATGGTTCTGAGTTTTGTTGTTCTGTTTAAATTTCAGGACATCCTTCAGATGACAGTGTTTATAAAATATTAGAGAATTAGAAAGTCATCTATTTTCGCAGTCATGGAATCACAGAATGGTTAAGGTTTTGGAAGGGACCTCTGGAGGTCACCTTGTCCAACCCTGTTGCTTGAGCAGGGTTGCCTAGAACAGGTTATGCAGGGCCATGTACATGCAGCTTTTGAAGATAGCCAAAGAGGGAGGCTCCATCACCTCTCTGGGCAACTTCTTAAAGTGCTCCATCATCCACGCAATGAAGAAGTGCTTTCCAGTGGTCATAGGGAATCTCTCGTGTTTCAGTTCTGTGCCCATTGCCTCTTGTCTCATCTCTGGGCACCACTGAAAAGAGCCTGGGTCTGTCTTCTTTACATCCTCCCTTCAGGGCTTTATATAACATAGAATTGCAGGGGCGGGAAGCGACCTCTAGAGATCATCTGCCAAAACAGGCTCCCTAGGCCAAGTTGCAAGGTAGGCATCCAGGTGTGTCTTCAACATCTCCAGAGGAGAATCCACCACCCCTTGGGCAGCCTGTTCCAGGGCTCTGTCACCATTACTGAGTAGAAATTCTCATGCACGTTTGTGCAGAACTTCCTCTGCTTCAGTCTGTGGCCCTTTCCCCTTGTGCCATCAACACACACTGCTGAAAGGAGTCTGGCCTCGTCCCTTTGCCTCCCGCACCTTAGGTATTAAGACACTTACCAGATCCCTGAGTCTTCTTTTCTCAAGGCTGAACAGACTCAGGTTACTCAACCTTCCCTCATAAGAGAGGTGCTCCAAGCCCTTTGTGGCCCTCTACTGGACTCTTTCCAGGAGATCCCTGTCTTTTTTTGTACCGGGGAGCCCAGAACTGGACACAGTGCTCCAGGTGCTCCTGGACCAGCCCTCCTCAAATAGGGGGAACCTCTCCATTTCCCATACTCTTTTCTTCCCTCCAGGGTCCAGGAGTCCCAAGGGCAAGTCTTTGAACATTCCAAACCATGGGACTTTAACCCACTCCAAACCATAACAGAAAACAGCAATAAGAATACCGACAACACCAGAACAAGATGTGGGGGACTCAAACCTCTATGCTACCTTCACTGTCTGCAGAGGTCTGTCCTCTGCTCATATTACAATATTCCCACAACCTTAGCACCAAATGGCCACCATGGTGGGACTTAAAGCCACAGTCTTTGGTGGGACGCAAAGCCTTATTTAAGTTGAACCCTTTTATCAAGTCGGTGAGGGACTTGAACCTATATACCAAACCTTGGTGCTATCCAGGCTTTTGCCTGAAATAACTTTTCCAGTGCTGACTTGAACCCCTAAGGTACATTTATGGACCAACCCTGCATGGCTTTTGCCTGTGTTTTACAAGCAGACAGTTCCACGGGACTTAAACCCACAACCCAAGCTATGTAATGATGAAGAATGCCTTTACATTCCCAGGGGCCTTACCTCAGGCACTTTGGTCTGAGGACTGGAAGTTCTCCCTTTGGTGCCAGCTACAAGTCCTGCAATCCCAGAATCCACTGAGGTTCAGAAGCAGTGCTCCATACGTATTGCCAAAACTGCTGCCAAATGAACTTCAGCCCAAACAAAACTCTTAACACCAGTGTGGTATAAAGAAGCAGGCATTTTTTATTGGATGCACAAGGGATCCTTCCACCTGACGTGCACTCCAACAGAACAAAGCCATAGCCTGAATCATGAGAACAGATTTTCTATGTTGAGAGAACAGCCTTTCGCGTAGCTTGAGCTGAAGAACAAGCTGAAGAACAGAAGGCCTGCACAAATGTAAGCTCAAGAATGAAATGTGGAGGCCAAGAAATTTGTTGTCAAGTGAAGATAAAGTGGAATAGATACCCGGTTATTGAAGGTAAGATGGCAAAACAGATGTCTCAGCTCAACGTAACAGTGGGAACTGGTTAGGGCAGCCCCCCTTATGAGGTGGAGATTCACTGTGAGAGTGATTGCTAGCCTTCATCCCATGACAACCAGAGACCCCCACCACATATTTTCAGGAGGGTGGGACAAAAATTATTAATTCTCAAAATTTCGGCCTGTTTTCTTGGCATGTTATTAATATGTATGTGCTATGTCTTCAAATGTGTAATCATTTCTCTCTTTGGTGTGCATCTCTCCACCCCCTTTCCTCCCCCTTCCTTCCCCTTTCTTTTTCTTATCTTCCGAAGTGGATTCATTTCTTCATCTTGACACTGGAAAAAGATCTGTACCAAGCCTCTTTGTGCTTTGACATTTGTTCTGAATTATCCTACAGGCAAAGTAATTTGCCAGTCAGAAGCCTTCAGCAACTACATACATGTAAGAGCTTCCGTCAGGCAGCTGGCATAAGAAAAACATCCCAGAAAAGCTTATTTTCTCCAAATGTCCACTGCTCCCACTCCATCTCATCAAAGATTTTACATGCCTGGCAGTACATAAAACTCAGTCCATTTTGAACCAAGGGAACACGTTCCAGACTCTTACGGCCTTGAGAACATGCAGCTGCAAGCACTTTCTCTTTGTAGGAGTGGGGTCCATCTCAAACATCTACTGGTCACAGATGAAGCAGGGCTATATTTCATGGATTTCTCCTCACTTGCTTTGAGTAGTCTGCTGAGCATTTGCTACTCAGAAGCTGGTGTTCAGGCTGAATGAACTGGCCCCATTTTCTACAAGATTTTTCTATAGGAAGGCCTTGTGGGATCAGCCTCACAGCAGAGGCTTGCAACAGGAGAGGCAGTAGAGCAGCACAAGCCCTGACCAGAAGCACAAGGAGTAAGAGGGAGCCCCAGGCCCCCCTCAAGCACGCGCCATCTCTTCTTCAGGGAGGCAGTTCTGACACTGTGGATGGAGCTGGGAGGGATGATGGCCAGAGCCCCATGCGTACAAAGAGCGTTCCCAGAGAGCAGGGCAAACAGGATGTGCTGTGTCAGAAGGGCATGGTGTGGCAGTTTGTGCAGCTGTTTGTGCAGACAGGGCAAGGAGAGAGGGCAGAATATTGCTCCCCGCTTTAGGAGATGGTCTCACTTATTGGCTGCTTCCCACACTACAAATCTGGCCATGGTCTCAGCTACGCAGAAAGCTCTTGCCAAAAATATTGCTGCAATCTAGGCTGAAAATGTAGGCATTCAGATCTCCAGCTGCAGGGAGTACCTGAGCCTCTTGCTGACATTGGAGGGTGGCGGAAGTGTGAGCAGTGGGATGATCAGCATGGTGGCAGGGCTCAAGGAAGGTGTGGAAAGATTAAGGACTATCAGAGAGCATGGGCAGGAGATATACAGGTGGAGCAGCAGCCCTCTTAGGGAGGGGACCTGAGAGATGGAGAGGAATGGAACCAGGACCCTGCTCAGTATCACAGGCAAGTCCCTTCCCTATTTACCTCACCTTCCCCGGTGCCCCTATGTGATAGATTTGATGATTTGGATCTTGAGGAATGCATAAGTGAGGAAGTGGGGGAGGGTGCAAAGAGGAGGTTGTCTAGGGCAAGGCAGTCAACTCCACACCTCAAGATTGCCTCTACCAAGAAGGAAAGAAGTGTAATCGTTGTAGGCGACTCCTTTCTGAGGAGAATGCAGGGCTGTATGTATCAGCCTGAGCCTACCCATAGGGAGTCTGGTGCCTCCCTGGTGCCCGGATCAGGAGTATTACTGGAAAGCTTCCTGGCCTGGTTCACTCCTCTGATTATTATCCTTCACTGGTAATTCAGGTTGGCAATAAAGCCACTGAGAGAAGCCCAGAGTCCTCAGTGCCCAACCTTTTGTCTTGACTGGGCCACATTAAAGAGGAATTCTTGGGCTACACACAGATAAATTGCTCTGAAAGCAATGCCTCCTACGTATTTCCATGAAAACCACAGTCAGTACAAAGAGCACAGTAACATTATTTGATAGAGGAAATTCTTAGCTACAAAACACTATTTTTCAACATAGCCACCATCGTTTTCAGTAGTGATGGAACAAGAGGCTGCATGCTGTGCTTACAAAAATCTGAAATGCACCACTCACCACATCACTGTGTTGACGTTTACTGTTTGGTCTCCATAGGCATTCAGCAAGCATAAATGAATGTCAGTGGGTTTCATTTTTTCCTCACTGAGGAATTCTGTGACATACTTTTGCTGAAGCACCGTTTTGTCAGAATACTTCTGCCATTTGTCACACAGCAATAGAACATAGTGGAATACTGGTGGGAAGGTTCAACCTCTTCTGCCACAACACCAACATACACCTTTTGTGTTGTGGGCCAACATAATAAAATAGGAGGCATTACTTCTAGAGCAGCCCTCATGAAATACGCAATATCATTAATATTGTAACAAAACATTGTATTTTTTAATATTTTTCTTAAAATATTAAAGAAGAAAGGAATAAAAGCATGAAACTAGTGGGATATTTGACCTTGTTTTTGTGAAACTAACGCAATCATTTTGTTCAGTGGCAGTGGTTGCAAGTCTTAGAGTCTCAAGGTGTCCACCTGAGATTTTTGACGAAATTTTATTCTTCCTGTACCTGTTCACAAATGCACGTACTGCCAAGAAGCAATTAAATGAGTAAGGCATGGCTGTGAAGCAAAATGCGTTTTTCTCTTGTGAGAGAAGTCTCATGAAATTCTGGTTAGAGATATGATCAGATTTTTAGTTGAACATGTGACTGCAACTCCGTGCATTCTATGCCATTTGAAAATTTGAAGCTAATGTATTTACATCAACTGAAAATTACGTCAGAACCATAAATTGGTTTTTTAAAAATCTTGAAACCTGTTCTCAAACACCTTTATCAAAATGGCAGGGATGGCTGCGTATTCTTTGCTGTTCAAAGCACTGTGTTTAGCCAATGTATCAAAATGCAAACAGTTATTTGCCACCACTTGAGTCGGCACTGCGCAGCACCGCCCTCCTGGTGCCCTCGATTCAGCTGGCACTGTGTTAATAGCACACCACCGATGGTTGGTTGTTGCTAAGTGATGCCTGCATGCCTGAACTTGGTGAAGAGCTTCCACCTTACAGCCTGGGCAGGGGGCAGGCTGCATTGCAAGCTGTGCTGGGCTGTGTTTGACCTGCAGGCTGCGAGGTGGACAAGCCTGCTTTAGGGCTATCAAATGGGACTGCAGCGTGCTGGTGGACAGAGCAGAAGTACAGGTTGTGTTTTTGTCTATCCTTCAGTGGCAGGGAAGGATACTGAGCAGATCAGGAAAATACATCTGATAAATACATGGCTGATAGGCTGGTGCCAGTGTGGGAATTTTGTTTTTTTTTTTGCCACGGGGTGGTTTAAGGAGCACCTCACCGTCATCCAGAGATGGATGCAGACACATGTCTTGTGTTTCACAGGGGACACAGATACTAGCTCAGGAGCTGTCAGAGCTCACGGAGAGAGCTTGTAACTAGATATGAAAGGAGAAGAGAGAGATGAGCCTGGGATAAAAAAGCCAGGGTTGTGGTTAAGGGCAATGGCTCAGCTGATGTGCACCTACACAATTATGTGCAACATGGCAACAAGTAGGAGAAGCTGGAAGCCATTGTGCAGCAGGCAGACTGTGATTTAGTTGCCATTACTGAAACATGGTGGGATCGCTCCCACAGCTGGAGTGCTGCAATGGATGGCTGTAAACTCTTCAGAAGGGACAGGCAAGGAAGGAGGGGTGGTGGCGTGGTTCTCTGTGTTAGAGAGAGCATTGACGTTGTAGAGCTCAGTGCTGGGAATGACAAGATCGAATCCCTTTGGGTAACGATCAGGGGAAAGGCCAACAAGGCAGAGATCCCGGTGGGAGTCTGTTATAGACCACCGAA